CAAGCCACACTCCAACGTGGATGGTACCACTGGCAATGAGCCGTTGAGAGGCCTGCCGGACGGCTGGACCAACCGGTAGACCTGGAACGGTCCACAAAAAAAAAAAAAAATTTGTCGCCGCCGATATCGGAGCCGCCGTCCCCTCGCACTTGAACTCGAGGCTCCCCGGAGAGGTACCTCGACCTCAAGTGCGAATTTGCCCCGGCGGCACTTGAGTTTCGAGGGCTAGGGGCCTAGTTGCACTACTCTCCATAAGCCAAGTTTGGCGAGTAGGTGCCTGGTTGCACTTATTCGCCAGTGCCTGGTTGCACTTACTCGCCAAACTTGACTAATGCAAAATGTGTCTGACGGCTCGCCACACCGTCAACACAAGTAGACACAAGTTGTGGAGAGTGAATTCGGTTTCCCCAGGCACGGCGGTTTGTGGAGAGTGGTCCTCAGACCTCTCCACAAAAGAGCTTTCTGGAGAGTGCAAGGCTTCACGAGTCGACATCAGGTAGACAAGAAAAGTCAACTTCTCTGTAGAAGAAATAAGTGCAACCAGGACTCGAGTTCGAAGCAATTCTCAGTTTTTTCACTCTCCACGCATCGGCCACGAAATGTGACGGATGGCGAGTAGTGCAACTAGGCCCTAGCACTAGAGAGCAGGAAAGTAGAAACCACTCGGCGACAAGGTTAGGGTGGGGTCGAACGAAGAATTTTCCTTCAACCCTTGAGTTCAAGTGGTGTCGAACTCTCGAAACTTCGGGAGTCCAGAGTGGTGGAGGGAGGCCCCAACTCCCGACTTGGAGCTGTCAGAAAGTGGCCTTCGAGAGCACTCCCGAAATGGCTTCGGACTCCTGCCTGCAAATGGCCATTTTTGGGAGACCTCGCGCGGAGACGCGGTTTCGCCCGCAAACTCGTGAGGAGATGGCGGCCGACCAGCAGTCTCCTCAGAGTTTTCGTCGGCACATGTTGGACAGCGCTTGAGAGTGCTCTCGAATGCCCTCGCCGCTAACTCCAAATCCGACAGCACCCCAAGTCCGGAGTGCAATGTGGCGAAACGCACTCCCTAATGGATTTTCGCGTCTTCTGACGTTCGGGAATACTTCCGATTTTTTTCTCCAAGCCGGGAGCAGTGTGGCGAGGTGAGTGGTGCCGCCAGGCCCATTCTCTCTCTCTCTCTCTCTCTCTCTCTCTCTCTGTGTGTGTGTGACAAACACAGTTGGACGAGAAGCGGTTCTTTTTCGCTTTTTATGTCGGCTTTTATTTTCCACTTTCTTTGTCGTGTTCTCTCTCTCTTTCTCTCACTCGCTTACTCACTCACACACAGGGTGGGCGCGATGTCGGAGAAACGAAGATCAAGGGCTCTCTCTCTCTCTCACACACACACACACTACACACACTACACACACCACACACACCACACACTACACACACTACACACACTACACACACCACACACAGAGAGGGCGGGCGCGCTGTTTGAGAAACGAAGATCAAGGGCTTCGCTCCGCTACTCTCCAAATGTGTGAAATGAAAATGAATCGTCCGATAGAACATGGCAAGATACACCGCCATATTTTTTGTCGGCCCGAAGAGAGGACATAGCGACGTTGCCCTTTGATCCTTCGATGTCGGTTCTTCCAAGCATTGTGAAGCAGAAAAAAATTTAAATAAAAAGCCAGGCGATCATAGCGACGATGGTTTTTGATCCTGCCCCGCTTCCTATCATCTAGAAAAGTTACCGGAGGGATGAAGAGAAAAATAAAAAGAGGGGCGGCTATGACGAGCTCAGCGAGAACTGAAATCTCGCGTGGAGCAAAAGAGCAAAAGCTGTGAGAGCATGGCCTATCGATCCATTTCCCTTTGTGGACTTGAAGGTGAAGGAGGAGGAGTATGACCGAAGAAGAGGAGGAGGAGGAGGAGGAGGAGACATATGGCGGAAGAGGAGGAGGAGGAGGATGAAGAGGAGGAGGAGGAGGAGGAAGAGGAGGAGGAGGAGGAGGAGGAGGAAGAAGACGAGGAGGCGGAGGAGTAGGAGAAAGATATGGCGCAAGAAGAGGGGGAGGAAGAGGAGGAAGAAGAAGAGGATGAAGAGGAGGAAGAAGAAGAGGATGAGGATGAGGAGCAGGAGGTAGGGCGACGGTCCACTGTGCACTGGAGGAGGAGCTAAAAGGCAAAAGCACATTTGATTTTGTTTTCCAGTTAAAAAAAAAATAATAATAATAATAAATATTATTATTATTATTATTAAAAAAATAAAAAAATCAATCAATCAATCAACGCGTTGATTGATTGGTTGATTGACTGGGTGTGGAGGGAAGGAAGGGGGAGAGAGAGAGAGAGAGAGAGAGAGAGAGAGAGAGAGAGAGTCTGCTCCTCCCCCTCAGCCCTTCTCTGTGAAAGGACTTGAGAGGTGTAGAATAAGTGGGAGCTTTACAGCGCAAGTGAAGCACCAGTACTTCTAACATTATTTTTTTTACTTATTTCGTGAGGTGGAGCCGCGGCCAATCCCTTTCCGCTTCTGGACTGAAGGTCAAGGAGGAGGAGGAGGAGGAGGGGGAGGGGAAGATATGGCGGATGAAGAAGAGGAGGAGGAGGAGAAAGATATGGCGGAAGAGGAGGAGGAGAAGGAACAAAAGGAGGAGGAGGAGGAGGAAGAAGAAGAGGACGAGGAGGAGCAGGAGGTAGGGTGACGATCCACTCTGCGCCGGAGGAGCAAAATGACAACAGCTCAGTTGATTTTGATTTCCAGTTAAAAAAAGAAAGAGCCAATCAAGCAATCAATCGATCGCATTGATTGATTGATTGATTGATTGATTGATTGACTGAGTGTGGGGAAGGGAGGGGGTGGGCGGGGGAGGGACAACCAAGGAAACGGCCAGCACTTAGCAGGCAATTCTGTCCCCCGCTCGGCTAGCTGGCGGAGACGATCGGCTTCGTTATTTGACCCATGGAGAGGAGTATGCTGTCACGGAGTGTGCTGAAGATACAGATGTGGATAAGGAAGAGAGGATAAGGGTAAGATCTGACCTGGATGAAGGAGATGGATCTTACGATAACTGGATAGAAGAAAAAATGGCTGGAAAAATGGAGTAATCAAGCAGGAGGAGCAGGAGTTATGGCGGGAAAAGCGCTGTATAGAAATGATGCGAAAGCTCCTCCGCCTCCTCCCCTTCCTTTCCCCATCCCGATTCTCCTACTCCCCCTCCTCCCCCTCCTTTTCCTCCTAATCCCCTTTCCAGTTCTCCTATTCCCCCCCCTCCCCCTCCTCCCGAT